ATTTACATACATACCACTCAATTCTTTTGTATTTAGATATCTAATACTTGAACTTCAATATTTACATGCATGTCATCTTTCTTATGCATGAGAATGTGTATTTTATTTTATTTTTTAAATAATTTGGGCTAATTTTAAGTCAAATAAGAGCTCAAACAAACAAATTAATTCTAATTGAGTGAATACAGTCTGAATCATCTCGAACAAAACTCTATTTAGACTTAAAAAACATACCAGACGAATGCGAATAAGATTTGAACCCGCTCAAGCTCGGCTCATTTACACTACAATGTAAATGCCCCAAATATTTTCAAGATTTACCTAGCACGGATTTACTCGTCTTAAGCTTTTATATTTATAGAAATCATATCATGTGAAAATGAATAATCGTTACATCTTTTAATGATCAAATTCATCTTTTCACGTTCATAAATAAAGTATTATATATGTAAAAATGAAATTTTGGGGGTGCTATGCTTAAATCCACAAGGACTGCGGCACATGTAATTTTCGCATTTATTAATTTATTTACTTTTTTTGAATAATTCGCCCGTCTTCGTTCCCCGGCGACCGGAAAGTCCAAACCAGCCGCCTTGAAGCAAAACTTCCACCCTACCTTCACAAATTCAAACTCTCTCTACATCAATCCAATCCAATCCAATCCCTTCCGATCTCCATCCCCTCTTCGATCGATCCACCCGCTCTCATGGCTGGATTCTTCTCCTACTCCATAGGCGGCGTCGGCTTCCTCATCATCGCCGCCATCGAATCCCTCTCCGTTGCCCTCCCCCTTCCCCCCTCCCTCCCCTTCATCTTCTCCGCTTCGCTCTCAATCCTCGCCGTCGCTAACTCCATCCTCACCTCCATTCTCTCAGCCGATCCCATCGGCTATCCACTCCCTCTCTCCTCCCTCCCCGTCGCCGCTTTCTTCCTCCTCTTCGCACTTTCTTCCCTCTTCTCCCTCTCCAATCTGTGTCCCCTCCCCAACCCTATGCTTCATTTCCTATCCCTCTCCGCCTTCATCCAGGAATTCCTCCTCTTCCGCCTTCGCAACAACAAGGATCCCGACGGCCTCGAGAATCGTTACTTCGACCTTTTGCTCGTTCCAATCTTTATATGCGCCGCCGCTTCCTTCCTAGCTATTGCACGCCCTCGTTCTCCCTTTCCCCGTCTCGCCCGAGCAGCGGGCCTTGCCCTGCAGGGCTCCTGGTTCCTGCAAATGGCTTTCTCTCTCTTTACTTCTTTAGTTGCTCATGGATGTGTCCTTCGCCATCGCAGCCGTGCTAACTTTAGTGTTGTCTGCCACGGTCATGCTGACATCCACCGCAGCAGCGCTATAGCCACCCTGCAGTTTAATTGCCATCTAGCTGGCTTGGTCACTGTGGCTGTTGGGCTTTATGCGTTCTTGGCGGGGAAAAATGGCAGCGGCGG